AAAGAAATTCTTCATCCTAAAGTAAATGAATTTAACAATCTTTTCTGTTATGCTATGCATATGTGTGTCTTTATGCATGCATGCACTTTATTTTGCTTTTTGCAAGCATATGTGAGTGTAATCCTGTTTAGGAAATTCTTCCCTACATGGAAAATACAAAGATATTTTCCTGGAATTTGTATATGGTGTTAAGTAGGGGTCTCATTTCATTTTTTAAAGATTTTAGAGAAAGAGAGCATGCGAGTGAGGGGGGGCAGCAGAGGGAGAGGGAGAGACATCCTCAAGCAGACTCCCCGCAGAATGCAGAGCCTGATGTTGGGCTTGATCCCACAACCCTAAGATCATGACCTGAGCCAAAACCAAGAGCCGGATTCTTAACCTACTGCACAACCCAGGCACCCCCCACCATTTCATTTTTTTAAAAATATGGGCACCTAATTGTCCCATTTGCTGAATATTTAATATTGTAGTAACTGAAAAAAGCTATCCTTTCTCCACTTATTTGAAAACCACCTTGTTATATATCAAGAGTCCTATAACGTGTGGTTCTCTTTCTCAATTCTCTATTCTGCTCCATTGATCTATTGCTCTACCCCTGCAATAAAAACACACTCACCTCAGTTCTTTAGAAATCATTATATTCAAGAAGGCCCACCTTATCATTTTTCTTCACAAGTGGACCAATACTTAGGTCTTGAAATTCAATATAAATTTGAGAATCATTTTTATCAAAGGTCCACAAAATAATAAGGTTGGGATTTTTACTAGGATTACAATGACTATTTCTGGGAAAACTGACATTCACATTATGAATCTTAATCCCCTCTCTCCATTCAAGTATTCCTTAATTTCTTTCAATATAGTTTTATCATTTTCTTAGTTTCTTGTACATTTTTGTTAAATTTATTTCAATGTTTCATATTTTTCTATACTATTATCAATGGTATGTTTTTAAATTTTCATTTTATAACTGATGTTTGCTGGCATATAAAAATGCAACTTGTTTTAGTATACAAGTATTTTATCTGGGCAACTTGCTCAATTCTATTAATTCTAAAAATATTTGCTACATTCTTTTGGGCCTCCCATACAGACATTCAAGTCATCTATGGATAGTAAGTTTTATTACTTACCTCCCAATCTTAACATGGTTTTTGTTTTTTGGTTTTTTTTTTTTTTTTGCTTATTATTGGCTTGCTCCAGTACAATGATCAATAGAATTGGTAGTGAGCGTCACTGACAAGCTCCCATTCTCAATGGGAATTCTTGAACTTTCAAGTAATATTAAGAATAAGGTTTTGGAAGCAACCAAGATGTCCTTTAGTATGTGAATGGCTAAATAAACTGTGGTACATGCAGACAAGAACTGTTACGCTGTGCTAAAAATAAATGAGCTATCAAGCCATCAAAAGACATGAAGGAGGGTGCCTGGGTGGCTCAGTTGTTAAGCGACTGCCTTCGGCTCAGGTCATGATCCTGGAGTCCCGGGATCGAGTCCCACATTGGGCTCCCTGCTCAGCTGGGAGTCTGCTTCTCCCTCTGACCCTCTTCCCTCTTGTGCTATCTCTCAAATAAATAAGTAAAATCTTTTAAAAAATGTAAAAAAAAAAAAAAGACATGAAGGAAACTCAAATGCCTGTTACTACATTAAAGAAGCAAATCTGAAAAGGTTATCTACTATATCATTCCAACTACATGACATTCTGAAAAAGGCAACATTACAGAGGCAGTACAAAGATCAGTGGTTGCCACAAGCTCGGGGAGGGGAGGAAGGGAAGGATGAATAGGCGGAATACAGATTTTTAGGAGAGTGTCACAATTTGGTATGATACTGTAATGGTGGATATATATCATATAATGCCAGTAACATACAATGTACAACATAAAGAATGAACCCTAATGTAAACCATAGACTTTGGTCAATAATATATCAGTATTGGCTCATCAACTGTAACAAATACACTACATTAATGCAAGATGCTAGTAATAAGCATGGAGGGGGGATGTATATGCCTAATTTAAGGTTTTTTTTTCCTTTTAAATGGATTTCGACTCTAACAAATGATTTTGTCTACCTACTAAGATTATCAGATGATTTTTCTCCCTTAGTATGTCATTATGCTAAATTATTTGGTATTTTAATGTTTGTTAATCTCATAACCCTTGCATAAAGACATAAATCTTTATACATGTGATCCTTCTCCATTCCATAACCCTAACCCAGAGTATTTCCTGAATCTTGTAATATTTATATATGGATTATATATACATACACATATATATGTATGCTCATACACACACACACAACACAGTTGACTATTGAACAATGTGGGGTTAGGGGCACCTACCTCGTCCCAGGCAGTTGAAAATCCTTGTATAACATTTGATTCTCCCAAAACTCAACTACTAGTAGCCTACTGTGGACCAGAAGACTTAACCAATAATATAAACAGTTAATTAATGCATATTTTGTATATGTATTATATGCTGTATTCTACAATAAAGTAAGCTAGAGGGGAAAAAAAGAAAATCATTTTAAAAAAACCATTTACGGGAGCCTGGGTGGCTCAGTTGGTTAAGCGACTGCCTTCGGCTCAGGTCATGATCCTGGAGTCCCGGGATCGAGTCCCACATCGGGCTCCCTGCTCAGCAGGGAGTCGGCTTCTCCCTCTGACCCTCTTCCCTCTCGTGCTCTCTATCTCTCAGTCTCTCTCAAATAAATAAATAAAATCTTTAAAAAAAAAAATAAAAAAACCATTTACATGGCCAACAGATACATGAAAAAGTGCTCAACATTACTCGGCGTCAGGGAAATACAAATCAAAACCACAATGAGATACCACTTCACACCAGTCAGAATGGATAAAATTAACAAGTCAGGAAGCAAAAAAAATTGGTGAGATTGCGGAGAAAGGGGAGCCCTCCTACACTGTTGGTGGGAATGCAAGCTGGTGCAGCCACTCTGGAAAACAGGATGGAGGTTCCTCAAACAGCTGAAAATAGAGCTACCCTACGATCCAGCAATTGCACTACTGGGTATTTACCCCAAAGATAAAATGCAGTGATCCGAAGGGGCACCTGCACCCCTATGTTTATAGCAGCAATGCCCACAATAGCCAAACTGTGGAAAGAGCCAAGATGTCCATCGACAGATGAATGGATAAAGAAGATGTGGTATCTATACACAGTGGAATATTACGCAGCCATCCAAAGGAATGAGATCTTGCCATTTGCGACGATGTGGATGGAACTGGAGGGTGTTATGCTGAGTGAAATAAGTCAATCAGAGAAAGACAACTGTCATAGGATCTCACTGATATGTGGAATTTAAGAACAAGGCAGAGGATCATAGAGGAAAAGAGAAAAAAACGAAACAAGATGAAACCATAGAGGGAGACAAACCATAAGAGACTCTAATCTCAGAAAACAAACAGTTGCTAGAGGAGAGGGGGGTAAGGGGATGGGGTGGCTGGGTGATGGACACTGGGGAGGGTATGTGTTGTGGTAAGCACTGTGTATTGTGTAAGACTGATGAATCACAGACCTCTACCCCTGAAACAAATAAATTGAAGCAGAAAAAAAAACATTTACAGTATTATACTTTAAGTTTATGTCACCTGTTTACAAGAGGAATCATCAGCACCTACATCAATACTGTCTTATATGATGCAAAACACTGTAGATGTTATACATATTACTAACAGTAGATATAAAAAATGAAAAGATAATGTGAAATTCATAGTTATTTACAAGTATAATGATTCATGCACTGATAAGAAGCAACAATATGCTTTATAGTAGACTTAATAATAATTGATACAATCACTTCACAGTAGCCTTGCCTATATACAAATGAATGAATCCTTATAAAATTTTTATGGCATACAGTATTACAGTATTACATATTCATGAAATAGTACTGGAAATACTGTTGCATTAAAAAAAAACCCCACTTACCTGTGACGATAGGCTGAAACACAATTTCTCCAATTATGAGATAGAGATATACTGTACAGTGATGTCATTCTTTGAAAGTCAAGTCATAAAACTAAGAAAACACACTGGTAATTGTATATTAAATATCACTCACCTGATGCCTATGTAAGGTTAAGCTATCCACTTCCATATAAGTCTTGCACATGACGTTCTACATGATGAATACTTAGGCGATGATGATGATGATGACCCAAAAACATCTACAGTTCTTGCTTTCACACACACACACACACACACACCAGATAGGTTTAACAAATCAGTGTATTAACAGCATGAGGATTTACTATTCATTAAGTGGGAGTGGATCATCATCGAAGTCTTCATCCTTATCATCTTCACATTGAGTGGACTGAAGAGGAAGAGGAGGGGTTGGTCTTGGGTGTCTCAGGGGTGGCAAAGGTGAACAGGTGGAGGAGATGAAAGGGGAGGCAGACACACTTGATGTTACTTTACACAAATACATAATTTGACTTTTTAAAAAAAAATTTATTATTTGAGAGAGAAAGTGTGTGAGGAGGGGCAAAGGGAGAGAGAGAATCTTCAGACACCCCACTGAGCACAGAGCCCAATGTGGGGCTTGATCTCACGACCCTGAGATCATGACCTGAGTTGAAATCAAGAGTCAGACGCTCAACTGACTGAGCCACCCAGGAGCCCCTGTCTGACTCTTTTGCTCTTTCATTTCTCTAAAAATGTTTCTCTCAGTACCAATCCTTCTTCCACCATTTGCTTTAGTTTCAGTACCCATGTCAAAGAAGGGTCCATAGCACAAAAGAAGTCAAAAGCAAACCTGAATGATCAGAACCCTTCTGCCAGATTGTCTAATACCAATTTGTTTTCTGGCACTGTTTCTGCTACATCTTCTTCCTTAGTCTGGCACTGGTTCAGAAACACTCATCTCCATCAAGTCCTTTTCTGTTAATTCCTCTGGTGTGGTGTCTGTTAGCTCTTGAATGTCTCCAAGATCCATTATCTTGAAACCCTTCACACACCACACCACACACTTTTTTTTTTTTGGTCATATCCACAATCTCTTTTATGATTTCCTTGAATGGCTCTGTCTTAAATCCTGTGAAGTCATGCACAACATCTAGACAGTTTTCTCCAGCAGGAATGTATAGTTTTGGGCTTGATGGCTTTCATGGTTTTCTCTATAACGATGGCATCTTCAATGGTATAATCCTTCCAGACTTTCATGATGTTCTATCAGGTTGACAATCCTTTCCATAGAGTGCCATGTGTAATGAGCCTTAAAGGTCCTTATGATCTCGTGATCTAGAGGCTGAATTAGAGACACTATGTTTGCAGGCAAGTAGACCACTCCAATGCCTCCACTGTTAAACTCATGGGGTTCTGGGTGACCCAAGGCATTGTCCAATATTAAAAGGATTTTAAAAAGGCAGTGTCTTCCTGGCAAGGTACCTCCTGACTTCAGGGACAATGCACTGAAGGAACCAATCCAGAATAAATGTTGAATGCTGTTATTATTCAGACCTTCTTATTGTGTAACTAGAAGACTAGCAGCTGGTATTTACTTTTTTCCTTTAAGGCTCGGGGGTTAGCAGCTTTATAGATAAGCGCAATCCTGATTACAAACCCAACTGCACTTGCACAAAATTGTAAAGTTAACCTATCCCTTCTTGCCTTAAATCCTGGTGCTCAATTCTCTTCCTTACTCATAAATGTTCTTTGTGGCACTTTTTCCCCAGAACAAGGTATCTTCATCTCCACTAAAAAAAAAAAAAAAAAAACTAACAAAAACACACACACAAAAAACAAAAACAAAAAATACACCTGTTCAGGCAGATATCCTTTCTCTTTAGTGATTTTCTTACAAATGTCTGGAAACCCACCTGCTGCCTCTTGGTTGGGTAAAAGTTGCTTCTGCTGTTAGTGTGACATTTTTTAAGCCAAACTTCTAATATCATCAAACCATCTTTTGCTGGTATTAAATTCTTCTGCTTTAGATCCTTCATCTTCCTTTTACGTTGTCATATAATGGGGGCACCTGGTTGGCTCAGTCAGTGGAGCATCCAACTCTTGATCTCATGGTCATGAGTTCAAGCCCCACATTGGGCATGGAGCCTACATACATACATAAATAAATAAATGAAGTTGTCATATGACTTCCCTTTTTCTTGAATCCTATTAGAATCGACAGGTATAATTTTTCTTACAGTGATCCTGCATCCACATAAAAGCTGTACTTGCAGTATGAGACAGAGTATTTCGCAAAAAAGTGAAATATTTTTGTGCCTGCTGGTGTCACTGGCCGAGATGGCTTCACAAATTCCTTTTTCTTTCTTTTTTGCAGTGGTCTTACAGTGTCCTCATTTATCTTGAAATGGCAGGAAACCCCAGCTGCAGATGTCAATCTACGGTACATATCAAGCAAGTCAACTTTTCTTTATAAAGTCACGACTATTCTCTGCTTCTTGGGAGCACTTCCAGCATCACTGGTGGCACTCTGTATGAGTCCCATGGTGTTATTCAAGGTTTATGGTATTGAACTAAACATGAAGAAAAATACGTAAGAACCAAGAAAGATCACTTTTTATTGTGAGATGCAATTTAATGGAAAGACTGCTTACAGAGAAGTGATTAGTGTTATGTGGCATTTTAAGCAGATGCTTGCAACCCTTGAGCTTACCCCAATAGCAACAGGAGGTGGTTACAAAATTACTACAGTAGGACAGTATGTACGACAATTAATTTTCTGTAGTTACAATTTAATACTGCATCTTTTCATTTAACATTTCTCAACTGCAAATGGCACCATGTACAGTCTCTAAATGTGTGCACAGATTCTGATAAATTTTAACTTTTCCTAATAGATTTGTGCATATTTTGTGGTAGTAAATGATAGACTAATATCAACATATATTTTATACATTCGTGACCTACCTTAATTTTTTCTATATTTCTAGGCTACACGGTTCCTATACAGGTTTTTTCAAATTGTCACAAAACTCTAAAATACCTTCCAATATACTTATTGGGAAAAAAATCCACATGAAGTGGACCCACGCAGTTCAAACTCATATTGTTCAAGGGTCTTGTGTACGTATGTTGTAAGATGGAGCAGCTTTTACTATACTTATACCCAACAAAATTTCATGAAGTCTAATCCCTATTGCACAGGGCAGGACCATATATGTGTGTGTATGTGTATATGTATGTGTGTGTGTATATATATTCCAAGAGAGTATATTTTTTTGTTTACACTGAGCATCACGGTACATTTAACCTTTTGGGAACTTATTTATTCACTCAATTTTATGTAACAGAAATTTTGCATATACATTTAGCTCAATCATTTTAATAGCTAACATAATTATTTGGGAATAGCCTTTCTTTATCCACCCCCTTGTTTGTGGGTATCTGGATTGCTGCCACGTTTTTTGCTTTAACAAATAAAGCTGCTAGGAACTACTTTACGCATTTTGCAGGTTTCTTCTGCACCTAGGCCTGGGAGCGCTGGTAAAGCATATAAATGTTTAACTGTTAAGACAATGCCAAACTGTTTTGTAAAATGGCTCCCATTCCCAGCACAAAGCTTTACATGATACTGTTGATCCAGATCCACTCCATTCAATATATGCTGTCAGACGTTTGATTTTTACCATTTGAATGGGTATAAGGTGATGTTTAGACTGTAGCCTTTACGTGGAATCCACAGTATTTTCTCGTCTTTCCACTGTTTATAGCAGCTGGTTGTGTCCTTTCTCCCATTTATATGTGCCTCCTGTTAACAAACATGTGTCAGTGTTAGCATTTCTTTGAGCTTACTTGATATTCCGTACTCAATATGCATTTCTATTTCATTAATTTCTGCTCACAACTTTATTACTCCCTTTGTTAAAATAAGGATTTACAGCTGTACTTTTCCCTCAAAGTACCACTTAGCTAGAAGTTTTTATCTGTAGTGCTTCCACTATCTTAATTTTAGTTCCAAATGTTTTCTAATTTCTATTTAAAATTTTCTGTGACCTAAGTTGTTTGGAATTATATTAAATTTTTCTAATTACCCTATAGTTATTGATTTATAGCTTAATTGCATTGTTATGAGATAACATTCTTTGAAGGATTTCCATCTTCTAATATTTGTTTAAACTATAGGGTGCTTGCAAAGAAAGTTGATCCTGAAGTTGTTGGGGGCAGTGTTCTATATGGATGCTCGTTAAGAGAAGTTTGTTAGAGGAAAATTCGGGGCTCCAAATGCAAACAAGTAAAATTGAAAAATGAGCAGAGCTGAAAATGTAAGCAAGAAAACACACCCAAAGAAACTAAAAGTGAGAAAATAATAAAGGGTAGGACCCCCATATAAAACAATAAAACTGTATAGAAAAAGAAAGTAAGGGTGCCAGAAGCTCCCCTCCCTTTTTTTTTTTTGATGTAGTGTTCAACGATTCATTAGTTGCATATAACACCCAGTGCTCCCTCTTTACGAAGACTATTACAGACAACTTCAAGAAAGTCTGTTCAACAAAACAATAATAAAATGCAAGTGAACAGAATATACTTAAATCCAGGGATAAATTATACTGATCATAAAGATTTAAAAAGCTGTACTGTAAGAAAAACTATATGCAAATATACCCCAATTGAAAACTTACAAGACAGATTAGGCAAAATATGGTAATGACAATGTTAGTACTACATGAAGTAAAAAACCTGAATACACCAATAACATAAAGGAAACTAAAATAGTAATCTGAAAAACAATCTCTTGGAGAAACTTTTCCCAGAAGGTCTTACAGGGGAGTTCTGTTGCACTGAAACAGATAAGCTCTAGTTTATCCAAAATTAGAAAAATTATGAAAGATGTCCATTTTTCAGGGTAGTAAAACCTTAAAAAAAAAAACTGATGAAGACAATATAAAAAATTATGGGCCAATTTCACTAACAAAGATAGAAGCAAACTCACATAAAATATCAGCTAACAGAATCTAGCTAGGAGTTTGAAAAATAACCCTAATAATACTTTCATTAAGTATTTATTTTATTAAGAGTTTATTCTATAAATACAAAGATGATTTAGTATCAGAAAATCTATAAATGGATTTTACCAGAGCAATGGAGTCAAGAAGAAAATACATGACTACTGCAGAAGATGCAGGAAAGACATTTGATAAAGTTCAATATTTAACTATCATTTTTTTCTAAAAAAAAAAAAAAGGATAGAACTGAATTTCTTTAACTTTTTGATGGCTATGTATTAATGCCCTGCTTATAGCAAACATCATAATTAATGGAACAACATTTGATGCATTTATTTTAAGGTCAATAACAAGACAAAAATACCACCACCACAGGTACAGTTCAACATGGTATAGAACATTCTGGCAATGTAATAAGAAAAAGAAATAACAGGCAAGAGATTGTTATTATTTGAAGCTGACTTTATAATCCACATAGAAAACCCAGGATAATCACTATCCCATTAAAAGACCTTATAAGAAATTAAGACCTAGTACAAAACGAGGGTAAAAACAAAGCAAAACAAAAAATAGTGACATAGAATCAGACAAGACCAATGTAACAGGATAAAAAGCCCAGAAACAAATCCTTCTGTATATAAAAAGTTGGTATCTGAAAGAAGTCATAACAACAAATTGGTGAGATACGATGGATTACTTAGCAAATGATGGAAAATTGGTGCACTCCATGGAAAAAATAAGGTTGAATTCTTACCTCAGTCTTCATATGTGGACTCCAGGTTTATTAGAAACCAAAACATGAGGGCGCCTGGGTGGCTCAGTTGGTTAAGCGACTGCCTTCGGCTCAGGTCATGATCCTGGAGTCCCAGGATCGAGTCCCACATCGGGCTCCCTGCTCAGCGGGGAGTCGGCTTCTCCCTCTGACCCTCTTCCCTCTCATGCTTTCTATCTCTCATTCTCTCTCTCTCTCTCTCTCAAATAAATAAATAAAATCTTTAAAAAAAAAAAAAGAAACCAAAACATGAAAAGCAAAATTAAGGTATAAAGTTAACAAAAGGATACATTCATAGGAGAATATCTTCATGATCTTGAGGTAGAGAACTATTTCCTATATAATATTCTCAAAGAACGAAACTTAAAGAAGAAAAGTGACAGACATTCCAATAACAAAATTAAAAGTCTCTGTTTAAAGAAAGTTAACACACACGAAGTCAACACATGGATAGAAAATGGGGAGGAAATAATTGAAATGAAAACCATTAAGAAAAAGAAAATCTCATAGAAAAGTGTAAAAAATATATGAATAAAACAACTTACAAAAGAAGGAACAATACTGCAAGAAACATGAAGACATGTTCGAACTCATATTCAGAGAAATGCAAATTTCATCAGTACATATTATGTACACAAAATGGCAAAAATTATAAGCTCATACAAACCCAAGTATTGACAAAGATCTCAGAAAATGGTAATACTGTATTTCTGGTCAGAGCTAAAACTGTTGCAGCCGTTATAAGAAACTGTTGTCAGTACTTGAAAAAATTAAATACAGGGATAGCCAATGACCCAGAAATCCTACTCCTGAATACATACTTCAGAGAAAATTCTAAAGGAAGCCACTCACATACAAAGTCCAAATACCATCTATATCAAGTTAAAACACACACGAAGCATCATACACATTAAGAATTAAAAAGACAGAATGGAGGAACATATAACAGAGATTAAGGAGTTGGACAGTAGAGATGGTTAATGGCAGTAGAGATGGGGAATGCATTAATATAAAACAAGAGGGTTTTGCATTAATCAATAATAATGTGCCATGAATGAACTGAGAGTTACACTTAATTCAGTAAATGTGGAAACTGAAAAGAAAGATATTTTCATAAAAACCTGAGGAAAAACAAACCTCATAAGCCTTTGAATGTATATACTTAGGAGCTTATTAAAATTCTATTACTGTTGGCCTTCAATTAGCAATTTTGGTAGCAGTTCACTACTGCTAAAAATAAGCAAAATAACAATAAAAAGTTTAATTTAAAAAACCTAAATGGCC